GGAACTGCAGGATGTGGAGGTTGATGCTTGATTAAAGCACAAAGTTGACTGTTACGCCTACATTAATGTTGAGTGTCAAAAACGTTGGAATATTTCTTGGTAAATTTAAAAAAGAAGTAACTGAAGCTGGATATTTGCTTCAATCAAAGAGCTAAATCGAGTTTTCTGTGGTGACGCTTGTGGTTGGTGTCTGAGGGCGTCCATTAAAAACTGTCTGTTTTTCACCACTGCTGCATCCGTTACCATGAAGGATGGCGACACGGGGATGCTGACCAGTGTGTTTTTGTGCTCAGGAGGGTGTAGGTGACACGCCAGACTCGTACGCTTACGACGGAAACAGAGTGAGAAAGTGGAACGTGACGACGACAAACTACGGAAAGGTGAGCGTGAACACAGACGCTGGAATCTGCCCGTCTATTTGATCATGTGACCATAACGGCGCGTTTTCTCTCCCCAGTCGTGGGCAGCAGGAGACATCGTGAGCTGTCTGATAGACCTGGATGAAGGAACCATCACGTTCTGCCTGTGAGTTCCTCTGTCCTTTCCTTCCCTCCTTTCCTCCGTTTGGTCGTCTTTTTACATCTTTGGTCCAAACCGAGAACTTCTGATCATCAACGTATCAGGATGGCTTTCTGTCCTTCACTTATTCTAACGTCAGCCCGGAGTTTATCAGGCTAGCTGTCAGTGTGAGCCCGTGACAGAGGCGGAGTTTGGAGCATGTGACCAATCAGAGAAACAGACAGGTTTCCTGATCGCAGAGCAGCTGACTTTACAAAAAAAGATAAAACTGTAATTTTGAGAAAATGTGAAGACAGAGTAGACTAAAAGTAACATCTGTGAAACATCTGTAGTGTATGTTAGGGATACAGAATGGTTGCCACACTTAAATGTTTCAGAACATCAAACAAATGTAAATGTTAGACAAACTCGAGTAAACACAAAATGTTAAACCGTTTGTTATTAAGGAGTAAAAAGTGAAACCAAAGCTGACCAAAAACAACACAAAGTCCAGCCTCAAACATCTCGATGACCCCTAAGACTTCTGGGAAAATACTCTGTGGGCTGATGAGACAAAAGTTGAACTTTTTGGAAAGTTTGAGCCTCCGTGGCGTAAAAGTAACAGCAGGAAAGGAACAGCTGTAGGATATGGTGGTGGTAGTGAGATGGTCTGGGGCTGTGTCGCTGCCTCGGGACCTGAAGACGTCTAAAACCTCCTGAAGGAGAATGTCTGGACATGTGTTCATGACTTGTGTTCTGCAGCAGGACAATGATCCAGAACACAGCAGCAAGTCCACCTCTGACTGGCTTTAGAAAGACTTTGGACTAGTGGAGTGGGCTAGTCAAAGTCGTGACCTGAGTCATGATGCTGTGGCATGACCCTAAAAAGGCAGTTCATGCTCAAACTAGGGGTGGGCAGTATAAACGGTATAAATTTGGCCAACGGTAGAGATTTTGACTATACGGCGATAGCGCATGTTGATGGTGTCATCAAGCTGCGCCTGTTTTTGTCGAAAGCATCGCAGCGTCTGCAAACATCATCTGCAAATTATGCCGGGCGACAGTAATAGCAAAGAAACGAAGCACTTTTGGAAGATGAGGAAAGCCAAAACCTGCGCTTCCTCCACTTCTGTACCATCGATTCACTAATGTTGAATTCTATCACAGCTGCTCTGTTCCCGTGTTGTTGCAGTATATGAATGACTAACCTCGTATTGTGGATGGATTATCTCAGTTGTTCTCCTGACTGAAGTTTGGTCCGTTTACAGCATCCTGCCATG